GGCTGGGCTGGGCCCCGCACCGCCCTTCCCGCAGCGGGGTCGCGCTGCGCTGCCCCTGCCCTCTGTCAGCCCGCGCTGACAGTCCCTTTGCTGCTTTCCCGTGCCGTCCCGGCCGTGTCCCCTGCGCGGGTGACAGTTCCGCGGCAGCGCTGCGTCTCCTCCGGTACCAGGAGCAGGGGCGGTGGCGCGCCCTTCCCCGTCCCTCCCCGCGGGTCTGCGGCAAAATCCGACCAATGCGGGACCGCGCTCGGTGCTCCCGCCCCGCCGCTGCTCTCCGCCTCCACTCGCGGGTAGCTGGCGGAGGCGCCTTTCCCGGGCAGCGCTCCCTTTGTTTTCTTCGGCCATGGCGGCCTCGCGTTTTCTTTGTCTACCCGGACACTCCCACAGCTGTCCTCTCCTCTGTGCGGTCTAGGGGGCTGGGCACCGAGCGTTTCGCGCTTTTATATCTGCACAGAGCGACCTGCAGGTCTGTGCGAAGGGAAGCAGGGAGCGAGGTCCTAAACGGCAGGGAATATCATCAGTGAGGGATTTCGGTGGGGAACGTTTAGGTCTGAAACTCCTTAAAGGCAACATGGAGGGGCTGTTTGGGGATGCGGAAGGGACGATCCGCCCATCCTTTCAGCCCTCCCCAGCCCCGCAGTACGGTTTCGGGGGCAGCGCTGGCCGCGGGGCGCTGGGCTCGCTCCCGGCAGTTGCCAGGCTCCGAAAGAAGTGTTCGCTGGCATACATCGGGATCCAAAAAGAGAGAGAAAGCATTACGGATATGACCAGCAGATATCTGTATGACATTTGAAAAATGAACACTAACGAAAGATTTTTTGTTCAAACGAAGAATCCAGAAATTTTGCCGTTTGTTTCACACTGTTGTGAACAAACATCTCTACATGCTGCTTACAGTATGTTGGACTGTATTTATGAAGTGAATGAATAAATACTGAGTTATAAGACTGCATTTCTAAATTAAATCTGTTAAGATTGTAAATATTACTTATACTCAGAATAGAAGTAATATGGCTATGGTGCTGGCCAATTTTTATGTTATTAGTATTTTGCACCCTTCAAACTTGTCTACTGTTTAAATTTTTATATATCCTTAGAAATTTGTGCAGTTGTTTATTTAAAGTTATTCAGGAGTATAATTTACAGAACATTGGCAGCGTTTCCAGAATATTTCTTGGCAGAAAGTGTTCCCTAAATTCAGGGAGAAATGCGATTGAGATGGTTGTGCATTTGGTTACAGGTGTCAAAATGTGCAAATCTTGTTATGATTATAATCATCCCCGCGAATTCCTTCTCCATTCAAATTGTTATTTTAAACAATTTAAAGAATTGCCACTCATATATACAACAGGAGCAGCAAACATAGCTTTAATTTAGATTATGTTTGCTTTTTAACTGAACAGAATGAACAAACACTAACTGGAAGATTTCTCACTGGTGGACCTGCCAGGCTGGTGCCTAACCTTACCGTTTGGCTCCACAAAGTCTGCTTTGTTCTTTATACCTGAAGATCTGTGTCTAGCTATGTTTCCTGAGGCAGTTATAAACAACATTCTGAATGCTAGAGAAAGCCTAAAGGAATTACACAAAATCATTCAGTATGTCGAATAACAATTTCTTTGTAAGTCTTTCTAAATGCAGAGTGAGGATCATAGTATAACTTTTTCTTCTAGCATTATAACAACTGAAAGACTAGGAAAATCTTCTTCCATTTCTGGCAGAAATGGATGATGAAGAGGCTGAGACTAGTAGCTTACAGTAATTAAAGTAGTTGCAACTCCTTTTCCTCAGTATCTGGAGCACATTAGATGTAATTTAATGTCACACTTTCTAGAAGGCTGCCTTGTCTGTTTGTTGGTACAAGTGCACAGAGATGTTTCCCGGGTGTTTCTGTTAGTGACATTAGTCAGTTCTCTCATGGATCAGAGGATTTTCTTAGGCAAAAATAACTAAAGTGGAAAGAAACTTTTCCTGCTGAATATAATCCCTAATGAAGTTGCTACTACTGTTGATTGGAGACAATAATTTTTATTTGGATTGAAGTTTAGGATCCAATCCTCAGATTGTAGGTACTACATTTTTCTCATCAGTTTGGACAAACAGCATTGGGGGTTAAACGAGAACAGAAACCTTTGCAAAACTCAGCTCCATTAAAGAAATAAAATAAAAATCTGTAGTTTTTCAAGTGTGCATTAATTAGGGCAATTGTCCTAGTTCCTCATTAAACTGCAATGAGGAAATTGCATTTGTTCATTGCAATAAAACAACATCTTACCATGACTTACCATTGCATCAGTGTGTTATAACCAACTGCAAAGCTGCTCTTAATTTTCTTGAGAGATTATATGGCAATTTAAATCCCTATCTTTATCTGCTACAAGTGTCATAATAATTATAACAATATGCGAACTAAAGTAATGCAAGATCTTTTCAATAGAGTACATTATTCCTAACATTATAAGCAATATAGATGAAAAAGAGCAGAAAAAGCCCTTCATATTTTTAACTAAGCAATTCTCAGTCTTTTGATATAAAGACTGATATTACAGAGTTATCCCTAAGCATGACTGTGATCTACAACATTTGAGGGAGCTTGGTTGGAAGGTTTTTTTCTTTCATCACAGATTCTTTAGAAGGTGGAGGTGCATTGGAAACCAGTGATACAGCTAAGCCACCATATTGTATGGATTTCCTCTTTCCTACTCTTCATTTTATATGCGAATTAAACTCATTTATTTAAACTTCCTTCGCTGCATTCCTTTATCCAGTGTAATTTGCTTGAAAGCTGTGAGTCTTTAATACCAGTAGATTTTCCAGCACTTTTTCGTGTTGTGTAATCCATCTGATTTACAGGACTTTTACTCTGAGGCCTCACCAGTGTGCTGGCAGCACAGGGTTCACAACTGGTGAAACCACTGGTGCTTAAGAACAGAACTAGGGAGTGCTAAGGAGTGAACCTAAGTATCACAGAGGATGAAACTACAGTTACTGGGGTGAGCAGACTAGTGAGTGAATTAAGAGGTGTTTGGAATGAAATTCTGAAGCAAATAATGGATTTCTGGTCAGATGACACAAAGAATTTGGAGAGATGTGCTGGACTTAGATCCACACTCAGAGGACAGGGCCCTCCCCTGTGACACTAACTCTGATTTTCACATAAAGGAGTTTGTTTGCAGAGAAATCTAGCTCCTGGATAGAGATCCCCCCACACCATGGCCTTTCTCTGGAATTCCAGTTCTTTGATTTAGAGGTGCATGCTTGTGGTCCAGAAAGCCAATCATAACCTGGGCTATATCAAAAGCACAGTGGCCAGCAGGTCGAGGGAAGTGATTCTCTCCTTCTACTCTGCTCTCATGAGACTCCATCTGGAGTTCTGCATCCAGCTCTGGGGTCTTCTGGTACAAGCAAGACATGAATCTATTAGAGCAGGTCCGCAGAAGGGTCACAAAAACAAGCAGAGGGCTGGAATACTTTTCCCATGAAGAAAGGCTGAGAGAGTTAGGCTTATTCAGCTGGGGGAAGAGCAGGTTCTGGGGAGACCTTGGGACTGCCTTTCAATACAGAAAGACAGACTTTTTTCAGGCCTCTAGGGACAGGAGAAAGGATAATGGCTTTAAACTAAAACAGGATACATTTAGATTGGACATAAGTAAGGATTTGTTTTTCATCGAGGGTTGTGGGACAGTGGACCAGGTTGTCCAGAGAAAATGTGGGATGCTCCATTCCTAGAGGATGTTCAAAGCAGGCTGGATGGGGCTTTGAGCAACCTGGGCTAGTGGAAGATGTCCAATCCACAGCAGGGATGTTGGACTAAATCTGTAGTGGTCCCTTCCCACCCAAACCATTCTATGATTGCAATCTTCTGACACACATACATTTGGAATCTGTTCTGGAAACTAAAGATAGAAGATTTGTGCATGTTAAAGTAGTTTTGATTACCACTGCAGTTATTCAAAAAGTGTAAGGGCCAGGACATCTAGGTGCAGCAAATGAGTTCCAATAAAACAACATAATGAAAACATTACAACCCTAAATGTGTACACTTACAAACCAGACCCTTAGGCATAGATACCATCACTGTATCAGATAAGGCTGGTTCTCCAGCAGCTCTCTGTTTTTCTCCACAAATTATCACTGGTGTCTCACTTTAGCCGTGGCACAATCCTGTCAAAAAAGCCTCTCTGCTACAGCTTGGGAGTAGCAAGGAGAGGCAGAGTGGGAGTGTTGCCCTCCTCCAAGCCCTGAGCATTCCTCCTCCCCAGGGGATGGAGAGCAGAGGTGCTGCACAGATGGGACCTATGGCCTTAATAGTGTAGTACAGATCATCAGATGCAGCTTCTGGGAATATCCTAACAAGAGGAATCAGATAGACAGTCTTTCTAATAATTTATGACAGTGAATATAAAGAGATTAAAGGTGGTGCTTTTGGGTGATACTTGTGTCAGCAACATAGAAAATTTAAGTAATGTTACCCACTGCAAACTGATGTAACAAGAGGAATAGCAATGCACAGTGAGGGAATTTTAAGGGTAGAAAGAATGGAATGGTGCTACACTATTGCTTTATAGTGCCGGTTTTAGTTAAAAGATCTAGATCAAAAAGAGACATTTTCCCTAAGGCATTCCTCATGTTATTTCTAAATAAAATTAAATCATAAGGAAGCTTTACATCTTTTGAAGAACAGAGGCCTGCAAAGGAAATGAAGAAATCGTTTCATTATTAGTTATGAGTTTGGGATGGGCTCCAATCTATTTTCATGCTGCATAGCTTTTTCCACACCCTCCCTATTCTTTTAGTCACCCTCCCATACTTTTACAAGCCTATGAAATCATGAAAGTTGAGCAGAATCAATATGAAAATATAAGTGCTTTACTGTTACAAGGAAAAAAACCCCAAATAATTTCAAACTGATAGTATTTTCAACAAAATAGGGAGAGTTAGAAAGCAAATGACCCCTCTTCTGTAGAAACAAAAGTTTAAAATAATGCAACACAAGTTCGTTTTAGTTAAAGTTGCATTTAAAGATAGCACGAGAGCACCTTTGTAAAGAAAGCAACACAACTCTTTTCTGACTCTGTGGGTGGCTCTGAAAAGAGCCTTTGGTTTAAAATCTCGTGCTAAGTCTGAGTAGCTTTGCTCGCCGAACTTATTTACTTTTAGCTTTATGGCTCTCAGTCTTCTTGGGCAGCAGCACGGCCTGGATGTTGGGCAGCACGCCGCCCTGCGCGATCGTCACCTTGCCCAGCAGCTTGTTGAGCTCCTCGTCGTTGCGGATGGCGAGCTGCAGGTGGCGGGGGATGATGCGCGTCTTCTTGTTGTCGCGGGCCGCGTTGCCCGCCAGCTCCAGGATCTCGGCCGTCAGGTACTCGAGCACGGCCGCCAGGTAGACGGGCGCGCCGGCGCCCACCCGCTCGGCGTAGTTACCTTTCCGGAGCAACCGGTGGACACGACCGACGGGAAACTGAAGCCCAGCCCGCGACGAGCGCGACTTGGCCTTGGCTCGGACCTTGCCTCCCTGCTTCCCACGGCCGGACATGCTTTTAGCGTCTGCTACAAAGCTCGATCTCAGCAACTAAACCGACAATATTATACTGACGCAAAGGAGCTTCCCCTTTTTATCCCTTCCCTGGGCGGGATTGGCCGCTGGTGATTGGTTGGAACCGGTCGCTGCTTAAAGAACCAATGAAAATGCGGATCATATGTTGACCAATCGGAGGCAAAATCGCGCCCCTTGCGGTAAGGTCCAATCGCATTGCACGGTTGGAGGGCCGGAATTTGCATAACCGCTCTATAAGTAGCGCGGGCTGCGGCCATTTTGGTGTTGAGTTTTCTCGAGGAGAGGAAAACCGCTGTCAAAATGCCCGAGCCCGCCAAGTCCGCGCCCGCGCCCAAGAAGGGCTCCAAGAAAGCCGTCACCAAGACGCAGAAGAAGGGCGACAAGAAGCGCAAGAAGAGCCGCAAGGAGAGCTACTCCATCTACGTGTACAAGGTGCTGAAGCAGGTGCACCCCGACACGGGCATCTCCTCCAAGGCCATGGGCATCATGAACTCCTTCGTCAACGACATCTTCGAGCGCATCGCCGGCGAGGCCTCGCGCCTGGCGCACTACAACAAGCGCTCCACCATCACGTCGCGGGAGATCCAGACGGCCGTGCGGCTGCTGCTGCCTGGCGAGCTGGCCAAGCACGCCGTCTCCGAGGGCACCAAGGCTGTCACCAAGTACACCAGCTCCAAGTAGGGCGTCTCGGATCGTCACTTTCAACCCAAAGGCTCTTTTAAGAGCCACCCACATACTCTCTAAAAGGGCTTTACACTGTAGTGCCTCAGTCTTTAATACGAAAATTTTATTAAGGAACGTAAGACACAATTATAAAACCAATGTTCAAGCAGTCATTGTAGCTTGCAGTGATAATTAATCCATCTCTGAAAGCCTTGAGTTACAACTTAAATTAATTCAATTGTTTTAATTAATAAAAAACGTTCAATTTTTTTTCCCAATAACTTTCTACAGTAAAGATTTGACCGTACATTATACTTCAAATTCCATCAAAATTAAGTATTTTACATAGCTTCCAATCATATAGCTAAATTAAAGGAAAATAAAGAAGGAAAATAATTGACCCAGATCACTTTTTACACTTAAGTCCTGGAATAGTATAAGCTTAAACATTTGCCCTTCTGTATGAGAAGACAGGATCGTAAGACAAGGACAAAAAGCCTGTGAGAAGCGAGAACAACTGAGAGGGGGTAGACGCTATGGGAGGACGAGCTGTCCCGGAGCGCGGGGACCCGGAAGCACCGGCAGGCGCGGAGCCAGCACGGGGAGAGTTCCGTGCGCCCCCGCCCCTCCCTTCCTTCCCCTCCCTTTCCCCCCCTTGTAGCGCGGGCTTTTCCAAATTTCCTAATCGCCCAATGAGCGGCTGCGGCTTCTCCCATCAGCCAATCACAGGCGGCCTCAGGGCTGCGCTCCCCGAGCCCCCGAGCTGGGGGAGCTCCGCGCCCGCTCCGCCTCTGCGCTGCCCCGGGGCTGAGCCCCCGCCGCGCTCCGGGACAGCCGCCCGGCCGAGCTCTCGTCGCTTCGGCTGCGCCGCCTCGAGCTCGGCAGGGTGCGGAACAGGAACGCTGGTGCCTCCCCCCACTCCCTCCCCGGCAATCTCCTTCTCGAAAAAGCAGGTCGGTCAAGTCACGCAGAAATCAGGACCTGCCCCACGGCAGCGCTGGCAAGCGGAAAGGTCATTACCAAGAAAGCGGAGGAGTCGTGCTGACAGTTCCCTGCTACAGTCACTAAGAGGTGTGGCAGTCGCATCCATGCTATTAGAAATCGCGGTGATAAAAGCAATGAAAGAAACCTCCACGCCCCAGAAAGGTACCCGCCTTTAAGCAGTCCCTTTAACACATACACCCACTTGCGGTGCTCAAAAAAAAAAAAAAAAAAAAAAAAAAAGGCAGCCTTCAGAAAGCGTTTTCGCAGGGAATGTAGACTTTATTTTTCCAAGTCTTAGCGTAACCACGGCCGGAAGTTTAGCGTCCCATCCACTCCCCAGACAAATGTCCCACACGGATAGTGGTGTGTGGACAGCTCTGCTGCACGCACGGAGCTCAGTGACAGTGTATCAGCCCTTTTGGGGACAATAGCAGGTGGCTCTTAAAAGAGCCGTTGGGTTTAAGTATTTCCACTTCAACACTTCATTTCTTGGGTGCTGCCTTCTTTGCCTTGGCTGTTTTTGGCTTGGCTGCCTTCGGCTTTGCTGCCTTTGGCTTCACCGCTTTTGCCTTAGCAGGGCTTTTCGCTGCTGCCGCCGCTTTTTTGGGCTTGGCAGCCTTCGTCGCCTTTTTGGGGCTCTTGGCTGCTTTCTTGGCCGCGCTGGCCGCCGGCTTTTTGGCTTTCTTGGGGCTCTTCTTCACCGCCGCCGCCTTCTTGGGCTTCTTGGCAGCGCTGGCGGGCTTCTTAGCTGCCGCCGGCTTCTTGGGCTTGGCTGCGGCTGTTTTCTTCTTGGGAGCTTTTTCCTTCACTTCTCCAGGTTTCTTGCTGAGGCGAAAGGAGCCGGAGGCGCCGGTGCCCTTGGTCTGCACCAGGGTGCCTTTGCTGACGAGGCTCTTGAGCCCCAGCTTGATGCGGCTGTTGTTCTTCTCCACATCGTAGCCGCCGGCAGCCAGCGCCTTCTTGAGCGCGGCGAGGGAGAGCCCCTTGCGCTCCTTGGAGGCGGACACGGCCTTGGTGATGAGCTCGGTGACGCTGGGCCCCGCGGGCTTGCGGGCTTTGGAACCGCCCGCCGCTTTCTTCGGCTTCTTGGCGGCGGCCTTGGCGGCGGGGGCCGCGACAGCGGGAGCGGCGGCGGGAGCGGTCTCCGACATCGCTGCAGAGACTTCTTCCTAATCAAAAGAAAGTAATTGGGCTACAGTAACCCCGATGCCTGAATTTATAGCGAAGCGGTGATCTGTGATTGGTGCTTTGCAGAGCCCGCCTAACTGTTAGCCAGGAAGAGCTTTTCCTCCTCCGAGTCTGTGTTTCTTCGGAGTTATAAATTCATATTTTTTGTAAAACGAGTGCTGCAAAATCACCCCAGTTTCTTCGGAGAGTGAAGGGAAGACAGTGGACTTTCATTCGGGAGAGTTTCTTGCTGTTTGGATCATAGATGAAAGATAAAAGCTGTTTTTAACCCCGCGTTGTGAAGCCAGAAAGACCCCGGGAACGGCAAACTTTTGTTTTTCCTTCTAAATTAAAATAAAACGCGTAGATAAAAAGTCTCCCCGGTAATACAGGCTTATTCTTTGGGGGGTTTTCTCCAGGTTAGGATAGAAACCGAGAGTGCAGCTTGAGTATTTTTGTCGTAAATTGATTTCAAAGAGAAGGAAGTAACACAATTTCATGGCTGAGCTTTGAATATGGATAAAGATTCGGCTCTCTTAACCGTATCTTTAACTATTAAGGATACAGTATTTCAACAGAATTTCTTGTTTTGAGAACGTAAGAAACCTTCAGAGGTATATATATACTGTTGAAAATTGTTTGGAACTTGCCAGGGCTCTGCTTTTTTTGTGTGTGTTGTTCTGTAAGTGGATAGAAAGATTTTGATATTTTTACAAATAGTCTGTTTGCAAAATGAAGCTCTTAATGCCTAGTTAATGCATATGAATTCCAAATAAACTACTAGTTTAACACTTTCTCAGGTACAATAGTATATACTATTCTTTAAGATTTACAAACTTCAGAAGCAGGTTTGTAGGGGAAAAATGTCTCAGAGGTATAGATACACTAATATGTATCATATGCTACTTAAACATTAATAGAGGCTACTGAAGCCCCGGTTCTCACCAAACAAATTAAATACTGTGGAAAGATGGCCTTTGTGAATAGAATGCTTCGCCCTCAATATTACCTATAAATATTTGGACACTGAGTGTTAGGGTTTTGGTGTTGATTTGTTCTGTTGTTGTTGTTGTTGTTTTCCATAGGTTTCATATTCCTCCCATTCTTTTCTTTAAAGGAAAGGGAAAACACGTGTCAATTTAGGGTTTCACCCAAATCTTCAGAGTACTGAAATAATTTTAAGACATCCTCATAAATCAGAATCAGTTTTAATTATCATAATCCCACTAAAATATTAAGTCTCATTAAGTGACAATAGAAATTGATTAAAATTTTTAAGGACTGCTATGGATTGTTTGGGCTAATTTTTTATTAAATTAGAACACAAAAGCCCTGATTGGTTTCTAATTAAAAAGAAGCCAGATTTTTTCCCTTGGTTGCAAAAAACAAGTAAAGATCAAACTTAATATTTTACCCCACTGTACTTTGTAAAAATTTGTCATGCTGTTTCAGCAAAGGAACATGGATGAATTTGAGGTTCAAGATGACATCAAATATGTTTTAAAAGGCCCTGGTGTGTATTTTGATATACTGAATGCTAAAGATACAATATATTTGATAGCAAGCAGTTTTAGTTGAAAGGAGGTAGATTAAAATGGTAATCATACATGAGATACATTAGAATTACAAGTAAAAACAGTGAAACTTCACTTTTTTCATATTCTCTTTTATTTCTATTTTTATTTTGTTGTGTTTTCATGCAGGCCAGACAATAAATACTTTGAAGGAGAGGAAGGGAAAAGTGGAGATTGGGAAAAATTAAGCTTGCCAGTACTTCACAGTAAAAAACAGACTGAAAAGCATACTGGAGTGGGCTGTGAAATCTGCCACACTTCTTTTGAACATGACATCGTTCCCACATAAACAACTAGACCAAATCCACGGTAGCCATAGATTTTGAAAGCTCAGGGTGGCAACCCAAATTAACAGTATGAATATGTTTGAGAGATGTAAAAGTAGTTGGCTGTGGTAGGATGAGGGCATTATGCTTACTTTCCAGTTTGGATGAACAAAGATGGCCATAAAGCAAAATCTGACTGTAAGTGATACAAAAGAGAGAGCCTGGAAGTGCTGTCATCCATCCAGGTCTCTTAAACGTGATGTACGTTATTCCGAGGATAAGGACAGCATGAAGATTAATGTGCCTTAATCTCTGTAGCTTTGATAGTTTAGTGTTAGAGCTCTGTAGCTCTGGTTTGTTACACTTGAAAATGATCAGGAAGCTGGGAGTAACTGGGAGTGGACAATAACTACTGGTGCAAGAATGCAGCTGTAGCCTGAGGGGTGCATCCTCTTTACACATCCCTCACATTCACACATTTGGGCAAGTTTCCCTTCAAGCTTGCTTTTAGTAAACCTGTTCTCAGTTCATCAAGAGAGGAGAGGTTTCCTCTCCTTCCCCCATAAACAGGATGCAGGTTAGAAAGACGGGAGGTAGAATGGGAGAAGAGATCTCAGATCTTGCTCCCTAAGTAGCTCAATCACTAGAACTCCACCTGCAGCACACAAGGATTGCTGTCCCTACTCTGGCAAGTTTTAAAAGGTCAAGGATGTCTCTGAATGGTTTTGGGGGTTTTGTTTACCTTGTTTTGTTTTGGTTTGTTTTTGTAAGGAAAGCATATGAAAAAGGTTGTGAAGGTCATTATCTAAGAATTTCAAGGGTCAGAATTTAGGGCTTCTCTCACTTTTAGTTCTGGGTTCATTCCTGTAAGTTTTCACGTCTCCTGCTCCCTATTTTGAGTTACACTTCTGAAGTCCTTTGCTTTTCCCTAGTAGACTGAGACACTGGAAGTCTTGGCAGCTGGCCTCTGGCATTTTGTGTCAGCATCCTTTATTATATCTTTTCCTTAACCATCACACTGACTCTCTTCTGTACAAAGAATTATCCCTGGTCTACTTCTGAGCAGAGAAAATGTTCTTGATTTTACCGTCCATTTCTGCAGAAGGCGATCTTTTTATTTTTAAAGACAGGAGCTTTAGGGATATGAGGTGCTGTGAAAAGTGGAGGCTTTTTTAGGGTTATTCCCACACTCCAGGCCAAGCAATGACATTTTCTAGTTAATATGTTAAAACAAAGTTATCAAGAGCTTTGAATAATTTTCAAGTTTACCTTGCTGGAAATAGCTGTTAAATGCAACACTGGACCACAATGACAGTTCTCCTATTTTAGAGACTGATCATTGCAGATAGCAGTGATATTGCCGTGGGTGTTTTACAGATAAAAGAAAAAGACAAAGCAAAACAAGCATTTGAGCACATAATTTATCAAATCAGTGGTAGACTGTGGAACAGTTTTTCAAACAGACAGAGGAATTTTCTTCCTGTGAAACAAAATTACTTAAAAATTAAAAAAAAGTTTGGAGAGTGGGCTGGTAATAAAAATTGTTTGCAGTTTTCTTGTGAAGAGATAAATATTTAAATGTGACTCATTTAATAATTAATTTCAATTAAACAGCAAACATTTTTCAATATTCTCTCTGATTTCCTTTCCAAGCACCCTGTACAAATGTAGGTTCTGTTTGCCTCTTACTTAGGAACTCAAACAAATTTTTTATCACCTCTTTAAAAGTGCACCCAGAACACAGCATCATTTCCATGCATCATCACACAACATACCCTGGCTTCCTTGCCTGGCTGTGTAGGTGCTAGTGCAGATTACAGAAGAGCCTAGAAAATGACAGAGCATTTTCCAATGCAAGGATCTTCAAAAATAGTTCACATATAATACCAGAAGTAATTCCTAAGCCTGTATAGTAAAGAAAATACTTAACTTTTTTCTTTTCAAGACAGGAGCTTCACATGGAGGAAAAACAGATTGGACATTAGAAAATAAAGGCAAAGAATACATTCAGACTGCAGGAGAAGAGCAATCCAGATAAACTGATTAGCCAAATTTAGCTGAAAGTCTTCACTCAGTTGTAATTACTATAGTTAGGACAGTGAAGATACAGAGAAATTGCCAATTTTTAACTATAGCATGCTCTCCTCTTCACAAATAATAATTTTGCAAACATTCAAGTAATCACTCAGTATTAATAATAAAAATACCATAACAAGATCAAAAGACATTAGTCAGGTCTAGCATGATAAAACTGTATTGATGATACTGATTCAGCAATTGCAAAGTTTTTGAAGTAGGGAAGATTCAAGGTGTCAAAGAGTTGTCAGTAGTAAAGAAGCCTGTATTTTTTAGTTGTACTTCAACTAAGCTAACAAAAATATACTTACATTTATTTCAGTGTTAGGGCAATCACATCTGCTAAAAAAATACCTTGTCTTCTAATCTAACCTCTAATGCAATAGGTTCTATCACTGTGATCAAAGAAGGATCATCTAGAAGAGGGAGACAGTAAAACATCTCTGGGGAGCAGGTTCTAAAAAATTATTTCTTATGTTTAAGTAAAATTTCCTGTGTTTCAGTTTGTACCAACTGCCTCTTGTCCTGGGTAGTACTGAGAAGGCTGGATCTGTCTCCTCTATTCCCCCCATAAGGTATCTAAACACACTGATAAGACATTCCTCATGTGAGAGATAGTCCAGTCCCTTCATCATCTTTGTGCCCCTTCACTGGTCTCACTCCTGTTATGTTCATGTTTCTGTTGTACTGCGAAGGCCAGAACTGGGTACAACATTCCAGATGTGTCTCACCAGTGCCAAGTGGAGGGATAGAATTATTTCCCTCAGTACTGTTCTGCACACAGTACTTCTCCAGGTTAATTTGTGAAGCCTATTAGATTAACCCTGAATGCCACTCCCATGACTTTTTCAATTTTGGTAGCTAAATAAAGACAGCTTCAAAAAATACTGTAACCCTTCACACAGTCCTTAGTTTCAAGGCTTGTCAAGACCAGTCTGAGCTACACCAATTTGGTTCAGTGATTGTGCTATATATGACTGAAAGACACGTTAAGGCTAGTTGGAGTATCAGCAAAACTTACATCTCTACACTCTGGAGTGATCAAAAGGTGACTCTGATCAAAGAGGTGACTCTCCTGCCTGCCATAACTGCTAAATACGTGATA